AGGTGACGATGGTGCTCGGCCCGTGCTGAAATGAGGCCCTCTGGAGTTTTCTACGAGGACGGAGAGTGGGAGGACGGATGAGATTTGGACGGAGGAAATTGGTGGTGGATGCGCTTGGTGCTGAGCATCTCGATGGGTACTGGCCACTAACTCCACTTGGATCAGCTTGAGGTTCTTCTTTTCGATGCTGGAGGCAAGATTGTTCTGCTTGTCTGTCTCGTGGGTTACATGTTTCTCTAAATTTGACCTATCCTGGTTAGCCCATAAGTTTTTGATCTCTTTCTGGACGAATATTGCTGAAGAAATTTTTCAATGGTATTATCAAATTATTCTTGAATTATCTTGGTTTTAATCGTAGTTTGGATTCGAATGGTGATTGTGTTTTGATTGTGGGCTCCGTGGGATAGCCAAGTGGAGCATCTTATAGAGTTTTGGGGGACTTGTTTTGAAGTAAGGGGCAAGGGGCATGAAATGATTCTTCGCAAGGACGGAGAGGGGGATGAAATAGGGCTACTCGACGGGTACTGGCTAAGGGGAGCTCTTATCAGATGCGATTGGCGTTGGGAAGTTCAGGCCGTCTGATGGGTGCCGCCTGCTGAGGGCGAACTCTGGCACAATTGGCCTTGGGTAGTGCTGGCTCACCTCCTTGAGGACGAACACTGGAATTCTTGTGGGGGCAAGGAATTTCAGGGTGATGATGGTGATCGGCCCCTGTTGAGACGAGGTCCTCTGGAGTTCTCTACGAAGACGGAGTTTGGGAGGACGGATGAGATTTGGATGGAGGAAGTTGGTGATGGATGCGATTGGCGCCGAGCATCTCGGCGGGTACTGGCCATTGGCCGCTAACTCCACCTGGATCAGCTTGAGGTTCTTCCTTTCGATGATGGACACAGGATTGTTCTGCTTGTCCGTTTCCGGGGTTACATGTCTTCTAAATTTGACCAGAATGGTCAGCTTGGAGTGCACATCTTCCAGAGATTGGGGCTTACCCTGTTGTGTAGCTATAACAGTCTTACCTGTTTGTCTATCTCCAATAATAAGTTCTCGCTGACCACGACCTATTGGAACAAGGCTATCCACCGCTTTTAATCCTGTTTGCATCCGTTCATGCACATATTTATGTGAAATAATTCCCGGAGCTTCGACTTCTACACGTCTTCGGACGGGGGTGAGCGCCAAGTGGTCGCGAGGGATACGAAGATGGCGGGATATCACACATTCTGCTGATGAAGGGGCTAGTCGGCAGGATAGAGCTAGGGCATAGCCGCAGTAGAGGTGGTGGCTCTACTGTAATAAGTCTTGCCGGAATAACGTAAGGGGGTTGAAGGGGGTCGGGTGTGTTGAGTTGAGTCAGCATAGGTAAGCAGGCATATCTGCTGACATACCATGCTAGTTCTTTTCATTTTCATTACCATGAAAGGACGTTCCCTGCTCAGTTAATCCCCTGGATTCCAGGGTAATCAATGCTGGCAGGGGGAGGTCCTCTCAACTTTTCTCAAAAACGATCCTCGTTGAAGCTGTAAATGTCCTCATGGGACACTGGACCCAGTTTCCAGCACATGCTGCTCCCCACGGGCTCATTAAAAAAAAAAAGAAAAAAAAAGAATCCACTTGAAAGCTTTAACTTGTTTTCCATGTTTCTAACCTTGGGAGGTAGTGAAGGTGATTGGAGACAACAGGATAGTGGCATCTCTTTTTTTATTTTTATTTTTATTTTAAAAAGCTCCAGTCTATTCGTAGGGAGCAGCACGTGCTGGGAACCGGGCCCAGCGTCCCATATGAACATACGATAGTGCCATCTCTCACTTGTGGTTAATAGGTGGTGTCATTTTCGGTGCCTGAACGGTTTTGAGTTCCATTTGTTGGAAGCTGCTGCTCAGTGCAGCCTGGCGTCCGAGAGGTAATCAACTTTTCTTTTTTCTTTTTTTTTTTTTTTTCCGAGTATGCCGATGTGATGCTTCTGTACAACGTTTTGGAGCAAAGCTTTAGTAGACATCAGTAACATCACAGGGACAAAAAAAAAAAAAAGCACAAAAAAAAAAGAAGAAAAAAAAGAAACTAAAAAAAGAACATGGCAGCCTCGGGCCTTCCACTGACAGGAAGTCGTTGAAATGATTGAAACAAGGTGGCGGTGCCATACTCGAAGATTGGACTCTTTAGACGAGTTGCATTTTTCACAGAATATGGCTGTCCTTGAGGCCAGATACATTCACGATTGTTGATTAATTCAACTGACTGCCATCAGCACCTCAGGCCTGCCAACTACAGGAACTCACTTGAAGCGCAGTGGTGATCCCATGACTTGTCCAACAGAATCTATGTCGTTACGGTCCGATACATTTAAGCAAGTCCAGGTTCAAAGTATGCCCCAAGGCGAGAGAGAGA